GTGTGTGTGTGTGTGTGTGTGTGTGTGTGTGTGTGTGTGTGTGTTGTTCTGAGCCCTCAGGCTCCCTCCAGGGATCCTCTTGGGGGTGGTCCCTTGGCAGCCCCAGGCAAGCAGGCTGGGGATACAATGCTTCAGTTCCTGGGCTCCTTCCCCCAAGGCCTCTAATTGAAGCCAGGTTTCTATGGGCCACCCCTCCGCCTCTGGCCACCAGCCTGTGGGTAGGGGTAGGATAGCAGCTCTGGCTCAGCAGACTCAGGTCTTGGGGTACCTGCTCTTAAGGTTGGATTTGCATCATCTGCATATTCATGACCACAAGCCTGTAGCCCCTAAAAGAGAGGCTCCCCCAGGGCAGTACTGGGTGATCTGGTGTGTCCAGTTGCTGACACCTACTATGTACCAGGCACTGCTGGGACTTGTCCCCATTACACAGATGTGGACGCTATTGCTCAGGGAGGTGACATGCCCAACCTCAGGATACTTGGGACTGTTCTGAATTGCCTCTCCACTCAGGGCACTGCTGGGCCACATGGGACAGGCCATTTCTAATCTCTGACAGATTTTTTGAGAGTGGAAGTAGAGTTGTTAGGGTGGCCCTTGTGGCTTCCTGTGAGGAGCAGGGCCTGATTGGCCTCCTGGGTCCGTCCTCTTCTGCACAAGGTCCACCTGGCAGGCAGAACTGATCATTTCTGAGCTTTTGGGCCAGTTCTTCCATTCCACAGAAGGGAAAGTGAGGCCCAGGGAGGGCAGGGGAATGACCCAGGATCACACAGCCATCTTCTAGGAGACTCAGCTAGCTCCATGTAGGGCTGAGTCCCTACACTTTGCTGCCTGGGAGCTAGGAGGGGGTGAGGGGCATGAGGCCTCTGAGCTGGGGTGGGCTCTAGAAGCAGGGATGTTTTTTGCTGCCTCCCTTCTTATCCCCTTGGCTGACGCCAGGGTACCACAGGGAAGCTGGTACTTTTCTGTTGGTGCATTGCTGTCTGCACGTATGTTCTGCATGCCTGGAGAGAAGGTAGAAAATCACTCTTGCTGGGGGTTTTGGGGATCAGAGCAAGCACATACATCGTGTGAGGATAATCACAGATCTGTAGAGGAAGGGAAACTGCTGGCTGATCTAGAGCACTCTGTTCCTGAATTCCACCTTTCCTGACAGAGCAGCCACCCTGTACCAGTCTTTCTAGAATGTTCTCGAATGTAGTCTTCACAGTTCTCCATATCTTGACCTGTGGTCACACTACTGCCACCTTTTTACAGATGGGGAAAGTGATGGCCTGAGGAGACAGCTGGCCGGTCTGGCCATGATGGAGCCAAGCAGATGGACCTGACCCAATGGCTTTCCAGTTGCCGTATCTGGGCTCAGCTCTATGGTGCTCAGGCATCTGTGGTCACAGTGGAGCTTGAAATTCCACTTGCCACTGCTGTATTTTCTAGACAGGGCCTTTCTCTTTAATCCAGTATGGTCTTGAATTCACAATCCCCCTACCTCTCTCCCAAGTGCTGACCTAGGGCTAGGGGTATAGCTCAGCCGTAGAGCACTTGTCTAGCATGAGTAAGTCCATAGATTCAATCCCCACACCACTGAAAAAGAGGGGCAGGGTGCTGGGAGATGGCCTGGTCTGTAAAATGCTTGTCACAAAAATGAGGACCTGAGTTCAGTCCCCCAGCAACCATGTAAAGGGCCAGGATACATGCCTGAAATTCCAGCCCTGGGGAGGTGGAGATTGGAGGAGCCTGAAGGCTCATTCTAGCCTATTTGGTGAGTTGCAGATCCCAGTGAGAAACTGTCCTGAGGAATGATACCTAAGGTCGTCTTCTGGCCTCCACATGCATGCACATACATGTGCATGGGACATAAACACACAGCATGTAAAGATTCCCAGGCTTGACTGACAAAGGATTCAAATCCAGCTTTGTCATGGATCATGTATGTGTTATTGGGAAAGACTGTAGACCTGAACCCAGGAAGAGGGCTGAGATGAGTCTCCCTCCGTGGACACCTAGAGCCATCAGCTCACAGTAAATGAGCCTGGGGTTCAGCAACTAAGCGCTTGCCTAGCATCTATGAGCACCGAGCTTTATTATTATTATTATTTTTTTTGAGACAGGGTCTCACTATGTAGCCCTGGCTAGTCTAGAACTCACTATATAGACCAAGCTGGCCTCAAACTCACAGAGATCCTGCTTCTGCCGCCCAAGTGCTGGGATTAAAGGCGTGCTCCACCTCCCCTGGTGCCTCTTTTTTATTTTTTTAAAGATTTATTTTTTATTTTTAATTATGATTTATGGGGGTGGGTTGTGCATATTGTAGAGGTGCCCACAGAAGGAAGAGGTGTCAGATCCTCTGGAATTAGAGTTACGGGTGGTTGTGAGCCACCTGACACGGGTGCTGGGAATTTAACTTGGGATCAGTTGAAAGAGCAACACATGCTATTAACCACTGAGTCATCTCTCCAGCCACCAACTTAGCCTCTTTAATATTTTTTATTACACTCATATATTTATGTGTGTTTGGGAAGAATGCATGTGCATGCCGTGGTTCAAATGTTGGAGGTCAAAGGACATGGTGTGGGAGTCGGTTCTCTCCTTCCACCATGTGGGTCGCAGGGATTGAACTCAGGTCATCAGGCTTGGTGGCAAGCACCTTTACGGCTAAGCCATCTTGATGGCTCATTTAGCCTTTTTTTTTTTTTTTTCACCAGAACATGACAACATGACATAAGTTTATTTCCAATGCAATAGTCATTTAGCCTTTTTTATATTCTGAAATGAGTTTCTGTTTATTGCCATCTAAACCAGTTTGACCAAATTTATATCAATACAGTAAGCTGGTGACTGCAGATTCAACCAACTCAAGATAGAAAGTAGTTAAAAAATTAAACCGTAAGAACCCAGTAACAAACCACACAGTGTAATAACAATTTCCACAGCGTTTGCACTGTACCAGGTAACGTAAGTCACCCAGCGGCAACTTAAAGGACAGAGAGGCTGTGCAAAGGTTCCACACAAACAGCACCATGTAGAGCCTTGAGTGCCCTCCTTGATCTTGACACCCATGGTGGGCATGAGGGTGTTCTGGAATCGGTTCCCTGTGGATGTGGCTGGGAGGCTTTGGGCCACTGGGGACAGCCACTAAATGACCAGCCTTGCCCCTACCTCACCTTCCAAGACCCTGTCATCTGTAGCCAAGGTGCTGGGAAACTGCTTCCTGGTCCAGCTCAGGACCTTGCGGTATACCCTGGCATCCGCCTCTTGCTTGCTCTGGGCCTGCCTCTTTCTCCCCATGTCAGTCCTCCAAGGGAGATCCTGAGACAGAGTACTCTAAAGCTTCTCTATCTTAGAGCTTCTAGCCCTAGTCAGCCTCAGGGACCTGGGCCGTCCTCTGGGTTATCTGGGTACACAGCGAAGGTTCTTAGGGTTTGTTTGAACCCCAGACTCTGATTCCCACTGGCTAGGAGAGTTAGTGTTTTAGAAAGAGGGGCTCCTCCATTAAACTTGGGCCATGAGGAATTTATTAATCAACCTGGCTGTCTAGGCCAGATGGAGTCTTGGGGGTTCATGCCTTGAGCAGACTTCCAGCAGGGTAGGGAGAGGGGGAGGGGCGCATCTGGTTCCCATCTAGTGGCCTCAGGGGTGGAGCCGCAGCTCTAGCTTTGTCTCTCCAGGCACTGTGGCTCCTCCTGGACCCTCCTGGGCATGTTTGGAGCACCATAGTGAGGTTCAGGCCTTCATGGGTTGGGGGGTAGGAAGGAGTTAAGTCCTCAGCTCAGACCTGGCATCCAAGTCTCTTGTAAGGCTTGCAGGCCTGGCAGCTTCAAAACCTAGAACTTTCTGGAAAAAAAAAAGGAGGATGGGTTAGAAAAGTCACCATCCAGTGGCTGGAGACTGTTGCTTTGTTGCAGGGACAAGGCCTGGGGGTGGGTGGGGGGAGGGACAGTGCAGCCTCAGACATTCCCTGGGCAAAGGTGTCACTCAGCCTCATCACCTACTCTGTGCCTCCCTGAGTCCTCCATCATTGCTACCCTCGTGTTCCCATCTAAACTCCAGCTCTTCTTGTGCAAGTCACTTGAGCCCCCCGAGCCTCAGTTTCTCTACCTGGAAATGGAGATATTTATAGCACTTCCCCTGCTGCAGAGCTCGCAGGACCCCCTGAGAAACTTCACTTTCAATTGGGCTGGGGAGATGGTTCAGGTGCCACACAAATGTGAAGGCCTGAGTTCGATCCCTGGCACCCATGTAAAAAGCTGCATGGTGGTTGCACCCCTATAATTCCTACGGTGGGAAGCCAGAGACATGTGGGTCCTTGAATCTGCTGGCCAACCAGCCTAGCTTAATCCAGGGGCCCCAGGTACCAGCAAGAGGCTCTGTCTCAAAACACAAAGTGGCTGACAAGGTTGGGCATGGTGGCACATGCCTTTAATTTCAGCACTTGGGAGGCAGAAGCAGACAGATCTCTATGAGATTGAGGCCAACGTGGTCTACATAGCAAGTTCCAAGCGAGCCCGGGCTACAAGAAGACTCTGTCTAAAACAAACAAGCAAGCAAGTCAACAAACAATAAACAAAAAACAAAACAAAACAAAGTGGTAGGTACCTGAAGAGGAAAACACCTGAAGTTATTCTCTGGCCTCCAAACATATTTCCCTCCCCTTCCAAAAAAAAAAAAATTGTAATAGCAGCAGGTGCACTGTAAGCCATCAAAGTATAAGGTTAGTACTGTGAATTCTGCCACATCTTTGCAGAAGCATCTATTAAGCCCTTAATGTATACTCAGGGTGCAAACCACTGAGGACATGAATAATGAATAAGATCCAAACTCTGTTCCTGGGGACTTGAGAGGGAAGTGGGGCAGGTGGCATTCCGTGTATAATGAACGGGGTTGCTGCATAGTGAGGTTCCAGACCCTGGAAGCTAAGTGACTTGCTGGAATATGTTCTGCTGCCTTCTGGGGCTGGTGAGCTACTTGTGAGTCTGAGACCCTGGCAACCCACTCTGACTTTCCTTTTCCCTCTTCCCTGCAGGTTGTGGGGGCCAACATGACCTCTGCCATCCTTCTGTCTCTACTGCTGCTCCTGAGGCCAGTGCCCACAGTGGCTTATTCCATGTCCCTCAGTGCCAACATCTTGGAGGATGGGGGGGGCAGTGGGGATGCCGAGGGTTCCTCAGCCTCCTCCCCGAGTCTGCCATCACCCTGGACTCCAGTCTTTAGCCCTACATCAGGGAGACCCCATCCCACAACCTTAGAGGGCCCTGCTCCCCCCACCAACCTCCTGGATGGGATCATGGATTTCTTCCGCCAGTACGTGATGCTGATTGCGGTGGTGGGTTCGCTGGCCTTCCTGCTCATGTTCATCGTCTGTGCAGCACTCATCACCCGCCAGAAGCACAAGGCCACAGCCTATTACCCATCCTCCTTTCCCAAGAAGAAATATGTGGACCAGAGTGACCGGGCTGGGGGTCCCCGCATCTTCAGCGAGGTCCCTGATAGGGCACCTGACAGCCGGCCGGAGGAGGCCCTGGACTCCTCACAGCAGCTCCAGGCTGACATTCTGGCTGCCACCCAGAACCTCAGATCTCCAGCCAGAGCCATGCCAGGCAGTGGGGATGGAGCAAGGCCAGTGGAGGGCGGGTCAGAGGACCAGGTGACCAACATCCAGGAAGAGGTCCCAGAAGCCCCAACACATGGGGTGCCAAAGGTGTCCTGCTCAGAAGAGTCTGAGGGGACTGCAACAGCCAGTGAGGTCCAAGGAGGGCCAGAAGGATCTTTCTCCTTAGCCCAGAAAGCCCAGGAGCCAGCAGGTACCCCTGAAGGACCCTGTATGTGCAGCAGCGACTCCCCTAGCATCTAACAGGCCCTAGAGCTGCTGGCCTTGACTGTTGGGTCCTTGAAGGTCATCTCCTTGAGCAAGAAAGGCCTTAACTCCTGACCACTTCCTGCCACCCCTCCTTGACCACCTCTGGTGCCAATCCTGTCCCTCAGTGGGACAAGCTGCTGGCCTCTGATACACCCCAGGAATAACCTCCCCAAATTCCAGCAGTGTTTAATACCTCTGCTGCTCTGCAGGCGTTACCCCAAATCATGACTCCTCCTGTGGGAGGGGAAGGACAACCCCAATTGGAACTGCCATGAAAGAGTTCCCATGAGGAGTCATACCAGGAGGGAAACAGGTCAGAGGCCCCTTGGAAGGCAGCAGATGCCCCCGCTTCCATCTGGGCTGTGAAGACAGGCAGAGCTGCTGAATTTGGAAGAGACTGAAGGGTTAGGACTTGCATGGTACCCAGGAGCCTTGGTGCCTGGGCTGGGAAAGCAAGGCACAGCCTATACCTAATGGGTCCCCTTTGCATCTCCCCATTGCTGGAATATGTTACTGTTGCCCTGCCCAGTGGACTTGATTAATTTGGAAGCTTCTGGAAGGAGCTCACATCTATATCACAGAGTTCCCCTAGGCACGCCATGGAAGATTTCATAGTCTTGTGAACTAAAACATGGCTGCCTCCCGCTCAGCCCCATGATCAGCTTCCCAGCCCACATGGCCACATTAAGGGCTCCTATTAGACTGAGTTTGCTAAGCCTTTCCCAAGCTTTCTTATTTTTAATTAATAGTTACAAAGTCAAATCTCAAATTTTTACTCCAGAAAATACTTATTTTTCCTAAGGTGTCATGGTTTCTGATTGGTCCAGAGTTGGGGTATGGGATGTACAGAATCTGGTCTTCTCAAGGGGGGTCAAGCAACCATGACTTGGAGGTGCATGTCTCATCCCACTACTGATGCTGGGTTTTGGGGCCTCAACATAGCCCTTCCCGTCAGCCCCTGAAGCATCCTGGAAGCTAAGGCTCATTTGCAGTGAGTGTTGTTCTAGTCTGACGCCCAGCCTGGAGAGTGGGCCTGGCCTTGTGTTCCGCTCATGCAGTGGTCTGGTAGCCTGTGCCCACACTACTCCCCCGTCCTAGTTGGTGGGGGCCTCTGTGATGTTAAGGGACATCTTGGGGAGGTTTTCTTCTGCACTCCTCCATCTTGGGCTCCCCTGATGATGCACAGCTGTCCAGCTATGGAGATATAGCACAGCAACATAATAAACCTTGATCTGGCTTGAGTCACACTGCATTATCTAGGGGAGGGGATGAGGCTGTGGTGAGGGTGTTGTGTCCATGGACTAGGGGCCATGACTGAGATAGCGCATCAGCCAGGTCCTAAAGCAGAGGGATGGATGTTGCAAGGAGAGAAACATGGGGCCCATAGGTGTTGGAGCCCATGTCCCTGAAGTGATGAGTCAAACTTCCCTGCCTGACTTTGCTATTGATGTGGCCATGATATGGTCATCCTTTCTTTGTCCTGGGGGACAGTGCTGTGGTGGGGGTCCTGCTTATCTAGTCTCTGTGGGTAAGTGAACCCTAGAATAAGCCTTGGGAGCAGTGACACCCACACCTACCCTTGGCTGGCCTATTGGCCCCTAGAGGCCTGGTCTTTGACCCCTCACCTCTAACCTCTCCTTGCCTTTGGTAGTGAGTTCCTCTGTGACTTTCACCCCCTTTGACTGGGCCCAGCTGGAATCCAGATGCAGCTGGGGTTTGGAGCTGGGTGGTGGTGGGAAGGCAGTCTCTTGCAACCCTAAGCCTCCCACATCCAGCAGAGGGGCCAGTACTTGGGTTTCATAACACAATGGCCTCTGTGTCTCACAGTGAGGAAGGACCTGCCCAGTCCAGCCCAGCTCCTACCAAGAACATCAGGAGAGTTGCCTATGAATTCAGCAATAGCTCCCATTCCAGTGTGCTGTGAGGCTCTGGCCAAGGTGGTGAGCTTCTCTGGGTGTCAGGCTCTCTCATCATTAGCTCTGAGAGTTTTCATGCCCTGGATGTAGCTGGGAAGTGCCTAAGCTTACTCAAGGCACACTAAAACCAGAAGACACCAGAGAGTGGCTCTCTGGCCAGCAGCAACCCCTCCCCCACTAATGCCAGCAGATACCTCCAGAGGATGTGAGATACATGGCCTTAATCACAACATGCATCCTCTGAGTCTTCAGGGAGAGGGATTAAGGAGGGGTCTGAGCACAGGACAGGAACTAGACTCTCCTGTGTCTCTGAGCTTTCCCAGTTGCTGTTCCTTATGCTTATGATTCCCTTCCATCTTCCTGTACAGCCACACAGTACTAACTGCCTCAGCCTTTTGTTCCTGGCCTAGACCTTCCCCGACTCCTGCTCCTTCCCCACCCAACCCTCTTTCCGCATTCCCTGGGCTTGGGATGACAGTGGCCCACAATGAATCTGCCCCTGACTGTGCCAGGCCTGCTCTAAGCATATGACTTCTTTCATTCATCAAGACTCTCAAACCTTGAAGTGAGTACTGTTAGTACTCCCATGACCAGAGAAGAACACTGGGGCCCAGAGAGGTGCCGTCAGTTGCCCATGTCACATGGGGTTCTAGCTCAGCTGACACCATTATGTGTGTTCTCTGATGGGCTCTGCTTCTCTGAAGGATGGATGAGTGGATGGATGGACAGATGGATGGATAGATGGTTGGCTGGAAGGAGAGATGGATGAATGGATGGACAGACAGAAATGGATGGATGGATGGATGGATGGATGGTTGGAGGAAGATGGATGGACAGATGGATAGATGAATGAATGGATGAACAGATGGATGGATGAATGCATAGATAGTTGGAGGGAGAGAGGGAAGGAGGGATGAATGGGTGAATGGAAGGGTAGGTGGATAGATGGAGGAAGTGAGGAATGGATTTATGGAGGAAGGGAGGCATGAAGGGATGGGCGAGTATGTGGGTAAATAGAAGGACGAAGGGAGTTGAAGGAGTGATGAATGACTGGTAGGTGGGTGACTGGATGGATGGAGAGATGGAGAGAGGGGAGGATGGGGAGGGGCAGGAGGACTCCATTGCAGGGAGGCTAACCGGAATGGGTGTTTTATGGACATACCATCAAGGAGCTGTAGAGGAAGGTCACAATTGGGGGTGTGGGTTGGGACCACCAGAGCCAGAACAGAGTGTGGGATGACAGGTGTGCAGTCCTGTGCCTGGCTTTCCAAACATTACTTTGGACCCCTCAGAAATCCCTCCTCTCTTTTCTTCTTCCTTCCCCCTTCATCCAGAGCCTCACCTCCCCCAAAGCCTCCCCAAGCCTTAGGCAAATGTTATTCTGTTTTCTGTCACTATGATTCCCTTTTTCTAAAAAAAAGATTTATTTTCATTTTATGTGTTTGAACGTTTTACCTGCAGGCATGAATGTGTACCACATGCATGCCCGATGCCCACAAGGCTAGAAGAGGGTGTTGAATCCCCTGGAACTGAGATTATAGGCGATTGTTAGCAGCATGTGGGTACTGGGAATTGAACCTGGGTCCTCTGTAAGAGCAGCAAGTGCTCTTAATTGTTGAGCCATCTCTCCAGTCTCTCCTGGATTTTTATATAAATGGAATCATAAGATGGGTGTTATGGCACAGACTTTTAATCCCAGCACTTGGGAGGCAGAGACAGGGGAATCACTGTGAGATTGAGGCCAGCCTGGTATGGCCAGTAGGCCAACTGGGGCTACATGGTGAGATCCTGTCTAAAGAAAAACTGATAACAAACTAAGTGAATGGAATCAAATAGTGTCTACACTTTTGGGTCTGGCTTCTTGCATTCCACACATTTTGGTGTTTTTCTTGGCATGGAATGCATTGGTATTTACTCCTTTTCCTTGCTGAGTATTTGTCCATTGCATAGATGTACCATGATTTGCTTATTTGATTGCCTGCTGATGGGTGTTTGGCTTGTTTCCAGTTTGAGACTATCAAAAATAAACTGCTATTCCTAACGTGTTATTTCTTCCTCACAGTCTTCTTGATGGGCTGGTCAGTTTATCTTTCTATGTTATAGGAGGGAAGATGAAGACTCATAACTGATGGTTAGCCTTTAAATAGGATGTGAAAGAGCATCTTACTAGTGCTGCTGAAAAGACTCCTGAGGTCAGTAAGAGGGTAAGGGAGCTTGTGACCAAGCCCAATGGCCTGGTTTCAATCCCTAGGACCTACATGGTAGAAGGAGAGAGCTGACTCCCAGAAGGTTGTCCTATGTCCTTCATTTGTGTGTATGCACACACAAAATAAATAAATGTAAAAGAATCCAAAAAGACTGGCCAGATGGGGTGGTACATGCTGGTAGGATATGCTGAAGAGGAAGAAGCAGGTGTAGCCAGCCCAGGCTACACCTTGGGCCAGTGAGATGGCTGAGTGAGCCTAATCTTGCTGAGCAAGCCTGATTTTTTTTTTTCTTCTGGAACTCACAGTGGAAGGGGAGAACCAACTCCTGAAAATTGTCCTCTGATCGCCACACTCACACTGTGGCACATGTGCCCCCCAACTAATAATAATAAACAAAATTAAATTTCAAAAGAATGTATCCACAATGCTCACACAAACAACCCTAACTGAGACATACACACAGAGAGACATAAAAATATAAGGGGGCTAGTTGAGAAAAAGAAGGGGTTCATCAGGAGAGAAGGGGGACAAGAAGGGAATTGGTTGAATATGATCAAAGCATACTATATACATGTATGAAGTTGTCAAAGAAGTTAATCAGTAAAAAGAGTAACATCTATATAGTTACCACATATCGAATATTAGGAAATCCCACTTTAATGATGTATGTACATGGAGGTTCAAGGCAGTATCAACATAATTTCCTTAAATTTTTCTTTACAGGATTATCTTCTGATTCAGAGAGTAATTTGATATAAATATATTGTGTGTGTAGCAAAGACTGTTACTAGGATCTGGAAAGAAAAAGGAAAATTAGAGATTCAGAGAGATCAAGTAACCTGTCCAAGGTCACGCGGCCAGTACAGAGCCTTGAACCTGGAATAATGGGAATGTGGAGCACATGACTTTAGGGAACCACTAGCTTAGTGAGCTTCAGAATTGGGATGAAGTGGTCAACTGACTGGATTTAGAATCTCCTGAGAGACGCAGCTGTGAGTCCATCTGTGGGGGAGTTTCCAGAGAGGTTTAAAAGCAGAGGGAAGAAGATCCACCCAAAATATAGGCAGTACCCTTCATTCCATGGCCTGGTAACCCAGACTGAAGAGGGGTGGGGAGGAAAGTGAGTCAAACACCAGCATCCATTTCCCCCCCTTCATGATTGTGGATGCGAAGTGATCAACTGCCTCAGCTCCTGCCACCATGTCCCCACCATGATGGCCTGAATCCTTTCACACTGTCAGCCAGAATAAACTCTTCCTAAAGTTGCTTTTATCATAGCAAACCAAGGACAAGAATCACATGGGATACCTCTGCAGCGGGGTACATTAGGTAGAAAACCCTGATCTAGAGCTGTCCTTTATTTTATACTTGGCCATATGAGGCACAAATGGAAGCTGGGCAGCATGAAACTGGGCAGACCTCTGGTCCCCAGGGCAGGCTTGGGCTGCATTCCTCTGTCCACTGCCACGTCCCCGGGGGCAAACCTACGCTGTATTCCTCTGCCCACCGCCATGTCCCTGGCTCTTGGTTTGCTTTGGGGACAGGATGGGCTGCTCTGGAGTGGGACAGGGATTTGCCTGTATTTCAGGGGGTTTTAATTTCAAGATTTCTCTGACTGCTCAGAAACAGCAGGGTTGGAGGGGGGACTTGGCGTGGGCTCCAGGCCCTGGGGATCCCTTACAGCTGCTCTCCTTCCCTGGGAGGGCCAGGGTTTATGGCGGCAGCTGCAGAGTGAAAAATAGCCCAGCTTGTAAACTGGCCTTTCCAGGAACATTGGTGCCAGAGGCACCAGTGATGTCCGCCATTGCAGGGACCCTGGAGGGATTCCTGGGGTGCTCTGGGGGGACCCTGGGGTTCTTCCTTAGGAGTCGTGTTCAACTGAGAGAACTGGAGGGGGCCAAGGAGTGAACCACGCTGCATAGGGCTTGAAAATTAGACAGTAGAAAGAGGGGAGGTAGGAGGACTCTAGGCCTCAAGTGTTGGCTGGCCTCCTCTATCCCCAGAGAGCCAAGGGGCTCATGAACGTGAACATACTTTACAGAGGGGCAGGAGGATGTAGCACAGTGGTCAAGAGCAGGCAGGGCTGGAATCCCAATTCTCCTATCTCCAACTGTGTGA